GAATTAATGCAGTTTGGTGCATTTACAATGTAGAATTACTGCAGTTTGGTGCATCAACACTAGAATTAATACAGTTTGGCGCATCAACATGGTAGAATTAATGCAGTTTGGTGCATTTACAATGTAGAATTACTGCAGTTTGGTGCATCAACACTAGAATTAATACAGTTTGGTGCATCAACATGGTAGAATTAATGCATTTTGGTGCATTTACAATGTAGAATTACTGCAGTTTGGTGCATCAACACTAGAATTAATGCGGTTTGGTGCATCAACATGGTAGAATTAATGCAGTTTGGTGCATTTACAATGTAGAATTACTGCAGTTTGGTGCATCAACACTAGAATTAATACAGTTTGGCGCATCAACATGGTAGAATTAATGCAGTTTGGTGCATTTACAATGTAGAATTACTGCAGTTTGGTGCATCAACACTAGAATTAATACAGTTTGGCGCATCAACATGGTAGAATTAATGCAGTTTGGTGCATTTACAATGTAGAATTACTGCAGTTTGGTGCATCAACACTAGAATTAATACAGTTTGGTGCATCAACATGGTAGAATTAATGCATTTTGGTGCATTTACAATGTAGAATTACTGCAGTTTGGCGCATCAACACTAGAATTAATGCGGTTTGGTGCATCTACACTGTGCAATTAATGCAGTTTGGCTCATCAATGCTAGAATTAATGAAGTTTGAAGCATCTACACTGAGGAAATTATGCAGTTTGGTGCATCAAAACTAGAATTAATGCAGTTTGGTGCATCTACAATGTAGAATTACTGCAGTTTGGTGCATCAAAACCATCAAAATTAGAATTAATGCAGTTTGGTCCATCCACACTGTGGAATTAATGCAGCTTGATGCACAAACACTAGAATTAATGCAGTTTGGTGCATCTACACACTGTAGAATTAATGCAGTTTGGTGCATCTACACACTGTAATTAATGCAGTTTTGACTCCTCCCCAGGATTCCCTAGGTCATGATTCTGTAGTGAAACTCCAGCTTGTTGACCATGGAATTGCACTGGAAAACTAAAAGAGATTCCTAGGGTGCATCTACATTGTGGAATTAATGCTCTTTGGGCACCACTCTAACTACCATGGCTCAAGGCTATATAGCATGGTGTGTTTTGAGGAATCTATGCCTCGCTCTGCCATGAAAGGCACTAGACAAGACGAGGCTGCATCTCACCAGGCTTCTAGGTGATGACTAAAAGGGAGCGGATAAGTATTATCAACTGAGTGAATGGCAAAATGGACTTACGCATTAGATTCTCTTTTGTTTGCAATGATTTGCCACCATTCCTGTCCGATCTGGTTGCCGCATTGTCCGACCTGCAGCCAAACTGCAGACATAGCTCACGAAAGAAAGCGCTGAGATACTGAACTTGCTGAACGAAAGGTTGCCGGATCAAACTCGGGGAGCAGGGTGAGCTCCCGCTGTTAGCCCCAGCTGCTGCCAACCTAGTAGTTTGAAAACATGCAAATGTGAGTAATTAATAGGTACCACTCTGGCGGGAAGGTAAGGGTGCTCCGTAACGTCATGCCGGCCACATGACCTTGGAGGCGTCTATGAACAATGCCGGCTCTTCAGCTTAGAAATGGAGATGAGCACTACCTCTCCCAGAGTCGGACATGACTGGACTTAATGTTAGAGGAAAACCTTTACCTATACCCTGGTGCACTAAAGTAGTTTGGTGTATCAAAACTAGAACTAATGCAGTTTGGTGAATCGACACTAGAATTAATGTAGTTTGGTGCATCTAGGCTTTGGAGGATTTACCTTGGAGAGGTTCCTGTGTTTATGTTCATGCAAATACCTTGGAATATTTCTGTATTCTTGCATTCCTGGATTTTGGGGTTTACCTTGGCATTTTTGGATGCCTTCTACTGAACTCTGGCTTATTTTGTGTATTGCATTTTAGATCACAAGCTGAACACGAGTCAAAAGTGTGATGCAGCAGCTAAAAAGACCAATGCGATTCTAGGCTGCATCCATAGGAGTCTAGTGCTTAGATCAAGAGAAGTCATAGTCCTGCTCGATTCTGCTTTGGTCAGATCTCTTGACCTGGAATAATAACAATCCTGTATCCAGTTCTGGGCAAAACAATTCAAGGAGATGGACAAGATGGAAAGCACCCGGAGAAGGGCAACCAGAATGATCAAAGGTCTGGAAACTATAAATCCTTTTGAGGGGCAACTGTAGGGGCCAGAAATGTTTAAGTTGGAAAAGAGAAACTTTGAGAAAGAAAATATTGGTCATGTTTAGATATTTGGAAGGATCTTCTATTGAGGAGGCAAATGTTGTTGGAGACTAGTTTTGGAGCATGCAAGGAATAATTGAATGCATGCATGACAGTTGTAAAATAACATGCATTAAAGTGATTGGTTGGGCAATGTCCAGGGAGATGGCTGAGCCTGGGACTTTTGTAAACTGTTGCATTTTTGTTCAGGCTTGAGCTATGCAGGTTTAGAGAGACTCTATTTAACACTTGATGTCCATGCCACTGCATTCAGTGAGTCACTGCTTCGGGATTTCTTGCCTGAAGGTTCGTTACCAGTTAATGAAAGATGAAATGACTAACGTACACTGGCTACAGGTATGTCAAATTAGAAGTTCATTAAGTGTGTAGCTCGCTTTCCCAGGGTATTGCAACATCACTGCATGCTTGATTCCGAATGCCAATCGATTAGGCATTTGCAATATGGCAAAGTCTACACTTTGGGGAGAAATCTCCTGATGAAACCTCTGAGCAAACAAATCCTCATTAATGGGTGCGCCCACATGTATGTGCCTCCAAGTCTCCTGCTGACTTTCTTTATAGGGTTTTCTTAGACAAGGAAACCCCAGAAGTGGTTTTTCCAGTTCCTTTCTCCAAAACAGGGCACTTAATATTAGTCAGTGGTCTTCCATCCAAGGACTAACCAAGGTTGGCTCTGCTTAGCTTCCAAAATCAAATGGAAGCTGATGCTTGCTATTTAGGCTGCAAAATTCAACATTACCAATTTTGATTTTAATTATAATTTGCATTCTTGTTCCCTTTTTATTGCATTTATTTGCAAACAGCTGTCCTGAATGGAACATACATAAGAATAAGGTGGAATATGAGGTTTTTGTATAAATCAAAAATATAATCTTGGTCAAAGTTGGTTGCGTAGAGAAACCGAAAGCGGTCTGGGCTTTTTTCCATTAGTCATGCTCTCCAAGGAATTAAATGCAGATTGCGAATACAGTGATACCTTGTCTTATGAGTTTGTTATGTGACTGAGCTCTTAATTCAAATTGCTCTTATGTCAAATCAAATTTCCTCACTGAAATGAATTTGGTTGCATGCTGCATGTTGAAGAGAAGCTCGTTGAAGCTTGAGGTGCTCTTACTGCCATTTTCAGGGAAAACCAGCTGATTCTGAATCCATCTAAAGTGCAAACATGTGCATTTATAGGGTAAACCTTGTTAGAGCAAATTCCCAGTACTATTTCGTTTTAGTCTCCCATCCCACAAATTCCGTACATTCCGAATAATTCAGCCTCTACTTTGACTACAAACCCGAGAGGTAAAAATCACATTTCCCGGCACAAAATTCCAAAAAATTAGCATAAGCGCATACTAGGAATATCAAGAATATTGGCTGTGCTGAAAACTTGGGTTCCCTAATTCCTGAGAAATTCAATCAAGGAAGGAAAGATTGGTGGTATTTGCACATCCTGGAAATTATTCTGCACATAATAATTTCTGTGCATAATATTGTACATATTTTTCAGAATATTGCACATATATAGACTTTATAAAGGGTGGAAATCACTTTCCAGATAGTCATGTGTGTTTTGTGTAAGATTGCTGTTTTCAATGCAGGTATGCTGATGATCCTGCCATTACTGCTCAAGCAGGGAGGTCTGAGATGGTTGAACAGAAGCTCTCCGAAGCTCTAGGTGCTCTCACTGCCTATTACAGGGAAAACCAGCTGATCCCTAACCCACTAAAACACAGACATGTGCCTTTCACCTTAACAGACAAGCATCCCGAGCTCTGAGGATGACCTGGGAAGGAATCCCACTGGAGCATTGCAGCGCACCCAAATACCTGGGAGTCACTCTGGACCGTGCTCTGACCTACAAGAAGCACTGCCTGAACATCAAGCAAAAAGTGGGTGCTAGAAACAATACCATACAAAAGCTGACTGGCACAACCTGGGGATCACAACCAGACACAGTGAAGACATCTGCCCTTGCGCTATGCTACTCTGCTGCTGAGTATGCATGCCCAGTGTGGAACACATCTCACCACGCTAAAACAGTGGATGTGGCTCTTAATGAGACATGCCGCATTATCACGGGGTGTCTGCGCCCTACACCACTGGAGAAATTACACTGTGTAGCCGGTATCGCACCACCTGACATCCGCCGGGAAGTAGCAGCCAATAGTGAAAGGACCAAGGCAGAGACATCTCCAGCTCATCCCTTGTTTGGGTATCAGCCAGCACGTCAACGACTTAAATCAAGAAATAGTTTTCTAAGATCTACAGAGACACTCGCTGGAACACCTCAGCAAGCGAGAGTCCAAAAGTGGCAGGCTCAAACCCAGAACCTCAAGCAATGGCTGATACCAAATGAGAGACTCCCCCCTGGGCACACAGAAGACTGGGCGACTTGGAAGGCGCTGAACAGACTGCACTCTGATAATAAATGTAGACTCTGCAAGGAAGCAGATGAAACAATAGATCACATCCTCAGCTGCTGCAAGAACATCGCAGACAGACTACAAGCAGAGGCATAACACCGTTGCTCAGATGATTCATTTAAGCAAGCCAACGCCATAAATCAAGAAATAGCTTCCTAAGATCTACAGAGATACTTTCAGGAACACCTCAGCAAGCAAGAGTCCAAAAGTGGCATTCCAGCCCCCCAAAAACCACACCGATGTTTTGATATGTGATTTAAATAATAAAATAAAATAAATAATAACATAAAAATAATACATAAGAAAAGAGAATGTACATAAATAAACTGTATTTATTAAGCGTAGAGTATGTATTTCCCTCCAAGATCAGACATCCCTTAATCGTCGTCTTCTTCACTGAGATTTGCCTTTTTTGCCGCAATTTCCTCGCTTTCGCTTGCAGGGCGTTTCAACAAAAACCTGTCCAAGGAGTTCTGTTCTTTCCTCCCTTTCAAAATGTTTCTGAAATGAGTGAGGCAAATGTCGTTGCACAGCGCCAACGCACAACTCGCTGTAACTTTTTCTGGATGTTTCCTTTTAATAAAGTCTGAAATTTTCTCCCACATTCCCAACATTTCCGTGATCTCGCTCGTGCGGATAACCTCCTCCTCTGTGTCCGTCTCTTCCGCATCGATTTCCTGCTTAATCTCCATATGCTGATGCTCCTCGAATTCTTCCGTCATTGGTTCCTCGTTGTGCTGCTCGACGAGATTGTTATTAACGTCTCCTTCATCCACTTCCATGGATTTTCCATTGGACACAACGTCGTCCATTGATAATGCTTCAGGTTTGAATCCTTCGAAGCCCCTTTCGTCAGACACAACCTCAGGACACGGCTTATTGGATGAAGAGTTTACGTTCCTCCTTGTGATGTCGGAGTGAATGCCAGTCCTCTTTTTAAAATTATCAAACCATCCCCGACTGGCTTTGAACGACTCTTCCGGCGCCCCGTTTGTTGACGTTCCCGGCGTCCGGCGCACCAAATCCCCGTAAAGGGCTCGCGCCTTCTCGCAGATGATGCTCTCGGTGACGATATCTCCCGCGAGCCGCTTCTCCGTCAACCACACCAACAGCAACTTCTCCATCTCTTCGTGGGCAGAGGTCCGGAGCTTTGAAATGATCTTAATGCCCTTGGCGGGGGCCACAGCCTTGATCGACTCCTTCTGCTTCAAAATCGAACATATTGTTGAAGTATTACGATCGTACTCTCTTGCCAAGTCGGCAACGCGCACGCCTTGCTCGTGCTTCTCGATGATTTCGTGCTTTGTATCCAAGCACATCATCCGTTTCTTCTTGGCACAAACTTTCTTAGGACTCACGGTTAGCCAGACCTTTAATTAAGAGATCCAGAAGACAGATATTAAGATTTTGCACAATATTCTTAGATTATATTCCCTCACTTCTTCTAGTGACTTCCTACAGAAATGTCAGTCCTACTACCACCATCTTAGCCATTATAGAATCCATATATCTCATGCAAAGTTGGACTACAAGCTATTAGGAAATCTATTGTCAAAGTCTATTAGTAAATCATTCTGCAGTACAGTGTTCCCTCGCTACTTCATGGTTCACTTTTCGCAGACTCGCTGTTTCACGGTTTTTCCAGCATTATTCTCAATTTTAATTCTACATTTGGCCTTCCTATAGTTTTAATGCTGTCTTATGTTTCATTATTTTATTGTCCATGTTTTATTTTAATTGCTTGTATTGTTATTATTGCTTGTATTGTTGTCTTTGGGCTCGGCCTCATGTAAGCCGCACTGAGTCCCTTGGGAGATGGTAACGGGGTACAAATAAAGCTTTATTATTATTATTATTATTATTATTATTATTATTATTATTATTAAATATGAAGAGTTCTAGTCCGGCTTACCTATCCAAACGTATCTCACCTTATGAACCATCTAGGACCGGGGTCCTCAAACTAAGGCCCGGGGGCTGGATGCGGCCCTCCAAGGTCATTGAGAAGATTGGGTACGGTTGTTTTTTGTAATAATTGTGCATTGTAATTGCTTATTGGTAATTTATGGATAATGTGTTAAGTCAATTGTTATCTGTTGTATGGAACCACTGCTGTTTCTACTGTTTTTACTGTTTGTGAACCGCTGTGAGTCGCCTTCGGGCTTGAGATACAGCGGTATATAAGCAAAGTAAATAAATAAATAAATAAATAAATTTACCCGGCCCTCACTCAGGGTCAACCTAAGTCTGAAACGACTTGAAAGCACACAACAACAACAACAACAACAACAACAACAATTCTATCTCATCAGCCAAAAGCAGGCCCACACTTCCCATTGAAATACTAATAAGTTTATATTTGTTAACATTGTTCTTCATTTTAATTATTGTATTGTTTTAAGTTTTTTGTACTACAAATAAGATATGTGCAGTGTGCATAAGAATTCTTTCATGTTTTTTTCAAATTATAATCCAGCCCACCAACAGTTTAAGGGACTGTGACCTGGCCCTCTGTTTACAAAGTTTGTGGACACATAAACCACTTGGGAACTGTGACGATGTGTAATTTTTATTCTTATGGTTATGTGTTGTTTAAACAGTAGTTAATAAATGGTAAGTATGTAGGATCATATTTTGTTAGAGATGGTGGCTGGTTTGGCTTGAGCTGAGTTGCCATAACAACGGGGGTGGAGCCAACTGTCACTTCCTGGGGCAGCTGTTTGAAATAGGCAGTCTGTAAGCCGGTGAGCTACAGGGAAGACTGATTTCTCTAGTGGGGGAATCAGGGAAGAGTCTGTGACAATTAGAGTTGCAGAAAGGACTGATTTCTCTAGTGGGAGAAACGATGAACTAGTTTGTGACCAGTAGAGTTACAGGGAAGACTGAAATCTCTAGGTGGGGATTCAGTGAACTAGTCTGTGACCATTAGAGTTGCAGGAAGGACTGATTTCTCTAGTGGGAGAATCAGGGAAGAGTCTGTAAGCCGGTGAGCTACAGAGAACACTGAAATCTCTGGGTAGGAGATTCAGGGAACTAATTTGTGACTAAAGAGTTACAAGAGAGGTAGTTGATCCTGTGGTGTGTGGAAGACCAGCAGGAATTCTATAGTTAGAGAACTATAGGGAAGACTGGTTCTTTAATATTAAGAATCGGGTTTGGCTGTGAGCCAATATAGTTAGATAAGTCAGGTGGCTTATTTGTAGTAAAAGAACGCTAGTTGAAGAAAGATATATCTACTGAAAGAAATCTCTTAAAGTCTGTACCTAAAGTTACTCATGAAACCTTACTATTGTAACCAACTAAGATTTGTGCCTTTTGTGAAGAAACAATTGAATATGTTATACTCCTGTTAATTAAATTTGTTACTGATTTCCTCAAGCCTTGCCTGATACAGTTTCTCCTAAGTCAAACAGCCTGCATAAGAAGTAAAACCAAACCAGGGACAGTAAATGCTACGCTATCAAATGAATAAATACTTCTGCAAATAATCGTCCCTTTATAAACCAGCTCCTAAGCTGATATTGATTACTGGGCTTCCAGTAGGTGGCAGTAATTTTATGCTCCTTTACAGGAACCTATATGAACCTATATGACTTTTCATTCTTTGAGTGCTAGGTCATTTCAAGGTGAGCAATGAAAGATTTGAAATAGCTCACCTCCTCCGTTTCTGGCTCCTCTGCATCGATTTCCTGCTTAACTTCCACAAGCTGTTGCTCCTGTAACTCCTCCACTTCCTCCTTTATCAGTTCCTCGTTGTGCTGCTCGACAAGGCCGTTGGCGTCTCCTTCGTCCACTTCCGAGGACTTCCCATTGGACACCATCTCCTCCATTGCCAACTCTTCAGGTTTGAAACCTTCGAAGCTCCTTTCGTCGGACACAACCTCAGGCCACAGCTTCTTCCAGGCAAAGTTTAAGTTCCTCCTTGCCACACCCTGCCAGGCAACGTCAGAGAAAATGCCGGTCCTCTTTTTAAAATTATCAAACCATCCCCGACTGGCTTTGAACGACTCTTCCGGCGCATCGCCTGTTGATGTTCGCGGCGTCCGGCGCACCAAATCCCCGTAAAGGGCTCGCGCCTTCTCGCAGATGATGCTCTCCGTGACGAAATCTCCCGCGAGCTGCTTCTCTGTCAACCACACCAACAGCAACTTCTCCATCTCTTCGTGGGCAGAGGTCCGGAGCTTTGAAATGATCTTAATGCCCTTGGCCGGCGCCACAGCCTTGATCGACTCCTTCTGCTTCAAAATCGAACATATCGTCGAAGTATTACGATCGTACTCTCTTGCCAAGTCGGCAACGCGCACGCCTTGCTCATGCTTCTCGATGATTTCGTGTTTTGTATCCAAGCACATCATCCGTTTCTTCTTCGTAAAAACTTTCTTAGGACCCATGGTTAGCCACACCTTTAATTAAGAGATTCAGAACACAGATATTAAGATTTTGGACAATACCCTTAGATTATGTTCCTAGGGACTTCCTGCAGAAATTATAGTCCTACCAACATTTTAATCACTATAGAATCCATATATCTCACACAAAGATGGACTACAAGCTATTAAGACATCATTCTGCAATAATGTATCAGGATAATAATACATAATGTTCGAGTTCAGCCTGTGATTGTGTTTCGAGATCAAGGTGCTCTGGATGTGGGGAATGATGTCAATGAGGGTCAAGATGGCAATGGTTTGGTCAATGATATTAATGCAGAGAATGACATAGAGACGTCGGTTCAAAGTGTAGTTTCCCATGAGAATGTTCCTAAGGGTAAAGGGATGAGAGTTTACTCCCTGAATTGCTCCCAGAGTTCCCAGGATTTGGGGCTTGAAAACAACTCGGCACCTGCAGGAAGTAATGAGCATATTGACAGGCGGGTGGAAATTAGCCAAAACAGACAGCTCGACCAAGGCCTTCGGTGTTCTGCCAGGCTTCGACAGATAAGGATGAGAGGCATTCAGGGAAAACAAAACCAATTTCTGAGTGCTTGGAATGGCTTAATGTGAAGATATAAAGTTCCAACCATGGGAAATATAGTCAGATGAAGCATCGTTTCAGAATCCTGCTAAATTCTTGCTCTTGTCTCATGGAAGCCTTGCTTGGAAGATTTATGTTTAAGGATTTCTTGCTGTATGGTTTGACCTTTTGTCTCTTGTGGTTACATACTCATGCCTTGGATCAACGTTTCCCTGTTTCTTTGGATTTTATCAGAGAAGTCTGGACTTTGTTTTTGAACTTTGCTGAATCATACCTTGGATTAATTTGTTCCTGCTTATCTTCATACCTAATTGGATTTACCTATTCCCTTCAAGTGCTTTTTCTACTTTGCTGCTTTTACTTATCTATATAAATAAAAATGTTATGTTCGTTTGTGGAATTAACATAACTCAGAAACCACTGAATGAATTGCCGCCAAATTTGGCCACAAGACACCTACTAACCCAAGGAGTGACCATCACTAAAAAAATTGGATTTTGTCATTTGGGAGTTGAGGTTGCTGGGTTTTATAGATCACCTACAATCAAAGAGCATTATGAACTCCAACAATGGAATCGAACCAATCTTGCCACACAGAACTCCCTTGACCAACAGAAAATACTGGAAGGGTTGGGTGGGCATTGACCTTGAGGTTGGGAGTTGTAGTTCACCTACATCCAGAGAGCACTATGGACTCTCACAATGATGGATCTGGACCAAACTTGCCATGAATACTCAACATGGCCAATGTGAATGAACACTGGTGGAGTTTGGGGAAATTTGCCCAAATTTGAATACTGGTGGGATGGGGATAGGGGTTGATTCTGTCATTTGGGAGTTATAGTTGCTGGAATTTATAGTTCACCTTAAATCAAAGAGCCTTCTGAACTCCATCAATGATGGAATTGAATCAAACATGGAACACAGAATTCCCATGACCAAGAGAAAATATTGGGAAGGTCTGGTGGACATTGGCCTTGAGTTTTTGGAGTTGTAGTTCACCTATATCCAGACTGTGGACTCAAGCAATGATGTATCTGGACCAAACTTGCCGTGAATACTCAACATGAACGAATGAACACTGGTGAAGTTTGGGGAAAATAGACCTTGGCATTTGAGAGTTTTAGTTGCTGGGATTTATAGTTCACCTACAATAAAAGATCATTCTGATCCCCACCAATTGTAGAATTGGGCCAAACTTCCCACGTGGAACCCCTATGACCAACAGAAAATACTATGTTTTTGGATGGTCTTTGGTGACCCCTCTGAAACCCCCTCGTGACCCCCCCAGGGGTCCCGACCCCCAGGTTGAGAACCACTGCTTTAGATTATATCTCTAGGGACTTCCTGCAGAAATTGTAGTCCTACATCTTAATCACTATAGAATCCATATATCTCACACAAAGATGGACTACAAGCTATTAAGACATCATTCTGCAGTAATGTATCAGGATAATGATACATAATGTTCGAGTTCAAGCTGTGACTGTGTTTCGAGATCAAGGTGCTCTGGATGTGGGGAATGATGCCAATGAGGGTCAAGATGGCAATGGTTTGGTCAATAATATTAATGCACAGAATGACATAGAGACGTCGGTTCAAAGTGTAGTTTCCCATGAGAATGTTCCTACAGGGTATAGGGATGAGAGTTTACTCCCTGAATTGCTCCCAGAGTTCCCAAGATTTGTGGCTTGAAAACAACTCTGCACCTGCAGGAAGTAATGAGCATATTGACAGGCAGGTGGAAATTAGCCAAAACAGACATCTCGACCAAGGCCTTCGGCGTTCTGCCAGACTTTGAGAGATAAGGATGAGAGGCATTCAGGGAAAACAAAACCAATTTCTGAGTCTTAAATCAATAAGCATTCTGAACCCCACCAACAATAGAATTGAACCAAACGTGGCACACAGGACTCCCATGACCAACAGAAAACACTAGAAGGGTTTGGTGGGCATTCACTCAGAGTTTGGGAGTTGTAGTTCACCTACATCCAGAGAGCACTGTGGACTCAAACAATGATGGATCTGGACCACACTTGGCAGGAATACTCAATATGCCCAAATGTGAACATTGGTGGAGTTTGGGGGGGAAAGAAACCTTGACATTTGGGAGTTGTAGTTACTGGGATTTATAGTTCACCTGCAATCAAAGAGCATTCTGAACCCCACCAACAACAGAATTGGACCAAATTTCCCACACTGTTTAACCAGAAGCATAAAAATTACATATATTAGAAGCCAACACTTTCTCATTGCTTTATATTCCAGATCACCAGGCCACAGCAACGGGTGGCAGGGGACGGCTAGTCTTCAATAAAAAGAATTGTTTTCCTACTCAATGTGTTGTGTTTTGTAGTCAGAGGGTTATTCCTGTTCTGGAGAGCAACACCTACAATCTCTCAATGCCCTGGGATTGCAGAAATATCAGCAAGGACAAGAGCAAGGAGTGTTCCTTGCTGCTTCTTTAAAGCCCTGCTTAAGATGGTTGGTAGCGTACTCTCACGCTTGCTCGTACCTTTAATCTTGGCTCACATGTCAAAGCAAAAAATCAACTGAGCGATGGCTCGTATCTCAAAAACCCATAAATTGGTTCGCTTGTAAGCCAAGTCTTCACTGTATTTGCTAAAAATATGGCCACAAAATGCCCCATTTTTGGTTGTCCTATCTCACTCATAGAATCAAAGAGTTGGAAGAGACCTCATGGGCCATCCAGTCCAACCCCATTCTGCCAAGGAGCAGGAATATTGCATTCCAAGCACCCCTGACAGATGGCCATCCAGCCTCTGTTTAAAAGCCTCCACCACATTCTGGGGCAGAGTGTTCCACTGCTGAACAGCTCCACAGTCAGGAAGTTCTTCCCATGTTCAGATGGAATTCCTCTCTTGTAGTTTGAAGCCATTGTTCCCTTGTGTCCTAGTCTCAAGGAAGCAGAAAACAAGCTTGCTCCCTCCTCCCTGTGGCTTCCTCTCACATATTTATACATGGCTATCATATCTCCTCTCAGCCTTCTCTTCTTCAGGCTAAACATGCCCAGCTCCTTAAGCTGCTCCTCATAGGGCTTGTTCTCCAGACCCTTGATCATTTGAGTTGCCCTCCTCTGGACACATTCCAGCTTGTCAATATCTCTCTTGAATTGTGGTGCCCAGAATTGGACACAATATTCCAGGTGTGGTCTAACCAAAGCGGAATAGAGCATGGGGAGCATGACTTCCCTAGATCTAGACACTATGCTCCTATTGATGCAGGCCAAAATCCCATTGGCTTTTTTTGCCGCCACATCACATTGTTGGCTCATGTTTAACTTGTTGTCCACTGCGGGGTGAGAAGGGCGGAATAGAAATACTGTAAACAAATAAATAAATATTTCCAGTTTCTGATTTGATCAGTAATGGCACCTGTCTTACTTTTTCTCACTCCTCGCCTTCTGCAATGTTAGAAATTTGGGGACTGGAGTACAATCTCACTTGCATTGCAGAATGCCTTTGTTTTGCCCTATACCTCAGGTAAGGGGAAGATGACTCCAGGTGACTCATATATATAAATGTTTGCTCGTTTAATTCATTTTTATCTCACTTTTCTCCTTGCAGAGGTCCCAAGGGAGCTCACCCCCCATTCAAATTGGGTTTTGAGAGGGTTTCCCTCATGCGTGGGTTTAAGGTGCCAGGTATTGTTGGTTCCACAATAAAGGGAAAGTCAACAGTGAGGACTGAAAGAAAATGTCTTTAGAAGCAGCACACTACTTTTCTTTTCTGTCTTTAATTGGGGCTTTCCTCCAAATAAAAAGGGAATGGGTGTGTGTGTATGCACGTGTCTTTTTATGTGTTTGTATGTATGTATTAACTGTGCCAGGTATTGGTTTGGCACAGGAGGAAAACATTAGGAATGGCCACTGAGTTGCCTTACCTTTACTTCCTCCTCGCCTTCTGCAAGCCTAAGAATTTGGGGACGCTTGGGGAATGAGAAGATGTCTCCAGGCAAGTCACAGGCCCATGTTAGTTCAATGGAGGAAATCTGTGGAACGAAGAAAAAAATGTCATTTGCAGCAAAGGATTAATTTCTTAATGTACGAGACCCAAGGGGGCTATCCTCTAGTTAAAATAGGAATTTAGGGGGTCCTCTTTGCGTGCAGGGGTCGATATTGGATTGACCTTGCCAGGCAGCCTTGCGTTTGCTTAGTCCTCTCCTTTTGCAATATAGGTATATATCTCCCCAGTTTTCCCCCTTGCAATAGATCTCCCTAGTTTCCCCTTGCAATAAATCTCCCCAGTTTTCCCTCTTGCAATAGATCTCCCCGGTTTTCCCCCTTGGACTAGATCTCTTCAGTTTCCCCCCTGCAATAGATCTCCCCTTGGACTAGATCTCCCCAGTTTTCCCCCTTACAATAGATCTCCCTAGTTTCCCCTTGCAATAAATCTCCCCAGTTTTCCCTCTTGCAATAGATCTCCCCGGTTTTCCCCCTTGGACTAGATCTCTTCAGTTTCCCCCCTGCAATAGATCTCCCCTTGGACTAGATCTCCCCAGTTTTCCCCCTTACAATAGATCTCCCTAGTTTCCCCTTGCAATAAATCTCCCCAGTTTTCCCTCTTGCAATAGATCTCCCCGGTTTTCCCCCTTGGACTAGATCTCTTCAGTTTCCCCCCTGCAATAGATCTCCCCTTGGACTAGATCTCCCCAGTTTTCCCCCTTACAATAGATCTCCCTAGTTTCCCCTTGCAATAAATCTCCCCAGTTTTCCCTCTTGCAATAGATCTCCCCGGTTTTCCCCCTTGGACTAGATCTCTTCAGTTTCCCCCCTGCAATAGATCTCCCCTTGGACTAGATCTCCCCAGTTTTCCCTCTTACAATAGATCTTCCCAGTTTCCCCTTGCAATAGATTTCCCCAGTTTTCCCCCTTGCAACAGATCTCCCCAGTTTCCCCCCTTGCAATAGATCTCCCTATTTTCCCCCCTTGGACTAGATCTCCTCAGTTTTCCCCCTTGTAATAGATCTCCCCAGTTTTCCCCTTGAACTAGATATCACCAGTTTCCCCTTGCAATACATCTCCCTAGCTTCCCCTTGAAATAACATATTATTTGAGAACACAGAAATGCTGGACCCCACCAACAACCACCATGTCAGACTACACAGAGAAGCCATTGAAATCCACAAGCATGTGGACAATTTCAACAGAAAGGAAGAGACCATGAAAATGAACAAAATCTGGCTACCAGTATTAAAAAATTCAAAAATTATAACAGCTAAACAACAGAGAGGAAAAAACCAGGCACAGATTAACACCTCCCAGCAACAGATTTTCCCAGGCTCAGGCAGGCCTTCAAATGCTAATGAAGGTGATCAGCTAAACATTCACACCTAACTGCAGCAGGGAAGAGCTCCTTGCCCCACCCCAGCCATTCCACAGATATATAAACCCATTTTCCTATTTCCAACAGACCTCACCCTCTGAGGATGCTTGCCATAGATGCAGGCGAAACGTCAGGAGAAATGCCTCTAGAACATGGCTCTATAGCCCGAAAAAACCCACAAGAACCTAAGTAAGTATTGATTTCCACCCTTGCAACAGATCTCCCCAGTTTAATCTTGCAATAGATGAAACTCCCAGTTTTCCCCCTTCAACTAGATCTCCCTAGTTTCCTCCCTTGCAATAGACCTCCCCAGTATTCCCCCTGACTAGATCTCCTCAATTACCCCCCTTGCAATAGATCTCCCCTTGGACTAGATCTCCCCAGTTTTCCCCCTTGCAACAGACCTCCCCTTGCAGCAGATCTCCCCAGTTTTCCCCCTTGGACTAGATCTCATCAGTTTCCCCCCTTGCAATAGACCTCCCCAATAGATCTCCCCTGGGGGGGGGCTTTCCTGAATTGATATGGGGATTTAGAGCAAGCCTGGCTGTTAGGAATGGTGGGAGTTGCAGTCCAAAACTCCTGGAGGGCCCAACTTGGCCCCTGCCTCATTGAGAGCCTCCTCTTTGTGTGCCTGGGCTTCTAATAGGGGTTGCTTTTGCAATGGAGGCAGCAGCACACACCTCCAGCTGCAAAGCTTGCAAAGCTTACCTGGAACTGCCAGCCTGGGTTCCTTTTGCAAAGCAGGCGGCCGTTGCAAAGAGAATGCAAGAGGCAGAGCAGGCGTTCCTTTGGCCAGCAAGCAAAGAGCTTCAGTGGGAGGCGTCTAAAAGCCAACCTTCCTTCCTTCCTTCTCCCCCCCTTCTTTTGCTGGGAGGAAGTCGACGAATTACCGCTTCCGTTGGTACGTTTCAGGACATCAAGAAGAGGAGGAAGAGGAGGAGAGAGAGAGAGGGAGAAAAAGAGGGAGCGAGGAAGAAGGAGAAGAAGGAGGAGAGAAAGAGGCGTCTCTTCCTGGGAGGCATTGCTTGTTCCTAAGGGCAAAAACATAATCATTTACTACTACTATCATCCTAAATTCAATTGCAATTGGGAGGAAACCTCCCTGCTTTGCACACCAACGCCATTTGGAAAAAGAAGGATTGCAAAAAAGAGAGATCTCTCCCAATTTTGGATTTCCTGCATCCAGGTAAAGCAAGCCAAGCAAAAAAAAAGAGAGAAGGATTTTGAGGATTTGCATTTGAGGATTTACCAATTTATTTTGTTTGTTCCTGTTTTATTTTTTTTGTGTGACTGGTGCTCCATATTATTATTATTATTGTTTCTGGATTTTTATCTTTGCAAGGCCCAAGTGTTTATTTTTTTCTCCCCATTTGCTGTTGCTGGGATGGGTTAAATTGCAAAAAAAAAAGGAAGAAGGAGGACCTTGCAAAACGTGGTTTGTTTCTCTTTTTATTATTGCAATTATTTGGAATTTTTGGGGAGAGAAGAAAGGGCTTTTGGACCTTAATGTGCCCCAGAAAATAGGCAAAAAAGGAGGATATTTCCCCTTTATTTTCTCCCCATTTGGTGTTGCTGGAGTGGATTAATTGCAAAAAAAAGGAAGATCTTGCAAAACGTGGTTTATTATTATTARTGTTTGGAATTTTTTTTTGGAGAGAAGAAAGGGCTTTTGGACYTTAAYRTRCCCYAGAAAATAAGCAAAAAAAGGAGGATATTTACCCTATATTTTCTCCCCATTTGCTKTTGCTGGAGTGGATTAATTGCAAAAAAAAGGAACAAGAAGACCTTGCAAAACGTGGTTATTATTATTAATGTTTGGATTTTTTTTTTTTGAGAGAAGAAAGGGCTTTTGGACTTTAACGTACCCTTGAAAATAAGCAAAAAAGGAGGATATTTACTCTTTATTTTCTTCCCATTCACTGTTGCTGGAGTGGATTGATTGCAAAAAAAAAAAAAAAGGAAGAAGGAAGACCTTGCAAAACGTGGTTTATTATTATTACTCTTCGGAATTTTTGGGGAGAGAAGAAAGGGCTTTTGGACTTTAATGTGCACCAGAAAATAAGCAAAAAAGGAGGATATTTACCCTTTATTTTTTTCCCATTTGTTGTTGCTGGAGTGGATTAATATTCATTGCAAAAAAGGAACAAGAAGACTTTGCAAAACGTGGTTTGTTTCCCAAGTAGAAGGAAGACCTTGCAAAACGTGGTTTGTTTCTCTTTTTATTATTGCTATTATTTGGAATTTTTGGGGAGAGAAGAAAGGGCTTTTGGACCTTAATGTACCCTAGAAAATAAGCAAAAAAGGAGGATATTTACCATTTATTTTCTTCCCATTCACTGTTGCTGGAGTGGATTAATTGCAAAAAAAGGAAGAAGGAAGACCTTGCAAAACGTGGTTTGTTTCTCTTTATTATTGCTCTTATTTGGATTTTTTGGGGAGAGAAGCAAGGGCTTTTTGGATCTGAACGTGCCCTGGAATATAAGCAAAAAAAGGAGGATATTTACCCTCCTAAAAAAGAAGCAAATATCTGAATGGTTTCCTGTTTGATTTTGAGGCCCAGGACGGAGGAAGGACAGCATGGCGTGACCAGCATGGCTTGCAGTTTGTAATTTTATTATTACGAGATTGGATTATTATTATTATTTCTCTTCCGAAGCAACGAATGACCGGGCCTCATCGTTTGCAAATTTACCTTCCTTGTGGCTTCCAGACCAGGATGTGAACCAGGTGCATGGAGTAAAAACAAACCTAAAAGAAAAGGAGCAAAGGTGCTACTGTTTTGGGGATTTCTCATTTATTTCTTCCAGTTCTCTCGCCATTCCTTTTCTTGGGGTCGAACCCCAAGAACCCCTCAACCCTTTGGATAAAGAAAAGGAAGACGGTTCGCTTTCTCTATGCGGGGAGGAAGCTACGCTGATCCTTTCTGGGGAGGCTTCTGATGAAGAAGAGGCCGAAAATGGGGGATTTCTACGACCCCGAACATCCCACCCTCGAGTAAGTATTGCACAGGCACATACAACAGCTTCCCTGCGCATTTGGGGACCCCCCATAGGCTCCCCATGCAAATCCAGGGCTTCTTTATTGTGTCAGACACCGAACATACCATCCACAATCCATCTATGGGGCCCTACGGACACCCCATAGAGCTCGAGGACTGATTTAGGGCTTCCTTTAACATGCATCTGCCTGAAATCTCACACATTCTTCCCATGCGCTTCCAGGGACGATTTGGGGGTTTTGTGCCTGCATCAGATGCAGAGTACCCCATATTAAATCCCATCTGCAGGCCCCACAGACTCTCCATCCATATCAATACCTGCTTTTTTGGGGTTTTCGACCTACACCAAATCAAATACCCCATAAATATCCCATGCAACTTGACTATCCCATATTAAACCCATCTGCAGGCCCCATAGACCCTCAATGCAAATTAATATCTGCTTTTTGTGGGTTTCGACCTACACCAAATCAAATACCCCACAACTATCCCATGCAACTCAAGTATCCCATATTAAACCCATCTGCAGGCCCCACAGACTCCATGCAGATCAACATCTGCTTTTTGGGGTTTTCGACCAACACCAAATCAAATTCCCCACAGGTTTCCCATGCAACGTGAGGTCTACTTTATGCAGTTTCCCCATTTTAAATCAATCTGTGGGCCCCAATAAATCCCCCCATGCAGCAGATATTGAACACCCCATATCCAATCCATTTGCAAACCTTACAGTTTAACTTAAGTGGTTTTGGAGCAGTCCTGGGCAAACTTGGGCCCTCCAGGTGTTTTGGCTGTTAGGAATTGTGGGAGTTGGAGTCCAAAACTCCTGGAGGGAGGACCCAAGTTGGCCCAGGACTGCTCCAGAACCCCTTAAGTGGAGTTACATACACTTCATACTTTGCTATAGGTTTACATACACCATATACTTTGCTATAGGTTTACATACACCATATACTTTTCTATAGGTTTACATATACCATATACTTTGCTATAGGTTTACATTCACCTTATGATTTACTATAGGATTACATACACCTTATATTTTGCTATAGGTTTACATATACCTTATACATTGCTATAGTTTACATACACCTTATGCTTTGCTATAGGTTTACATACACTTCATACTTTGCTCTAAGTTTACATATACCTTATACATTACTATAGGTTTACATACACCTTATACTTTGCTTTAGGTTTACATACACCTTATTCTTTGCTTAAGGTTTATATACACTTTATACTTTGCTATAGGTTTACATACAGCTCATGCTTTGCTGTAGGTTTACATATACCTTATCAGTTGCTATAGTTTTACATACACCTTATACTTTGTTTTAGGTTTACATACACTTTATACTTTGCTATAAGTTTACATACACCTTACACTTTGCTATAGGTTTACAGACACCTTATGCTTTGCTATAGGTTTACATACACCTCATAGTTTGATGTAAGTTTACATATACCTTATAAATTACTATAGGTTTACATACACCTTGTACTTTGCTTTAGGTTTACATACACTTTATACTTTGCTGTAGGGTTACAGACACCTTATGCTATGCTATAGGTTTACATACACCTTTTGCTTTGCTATAGGTTTACATGCACCACATATTTTGCTTTAGGTTTACATACACCTCATGGTTTGCTACAAGTTTACATACACAGAGGTCTGGCCCCCACCCCTACAAAAGCGGGGTTGTGCAAACCCCATTTTAGGCAAAGATATAAATAAAACAGTGATTTGCCCCCTCATGAAAGAATTCTCATTCTAAATGCAGGCCAGAGAAAATGATAGTTAACGAGGAAAGCCTGTTAATGAGGAAAGCCAGGCTCCATTATAAGGAAAGACCCTCTTAGGGGTCCTTAATGGGCTCCTTCTGAAGAGGTTTCCCCTGATAATGAGGTGGATCTTCTTCTTAAGAGGCCTTCAAGTCCTTAGGAGACTTCCCTCTGAAATGGGAGGGGGGGTCTCCAACTTGAAGGGCTTCCCCTTAAAAAGGGGGCTGCCTTTTGTGAGGCCTCTCCTTATAATGGGTGACCCCCTTGTAATGGGGAGCTCCTAATTTTTTTGGAATCGTTTTCACATAATGGGGGGCTCTCTCTTGAGGGTCTCCCATACAATTCCCTTGCAACAAGGGGCCTCTTTAACAAGGCTTCCCCACATAATGGGCTCTCTCTTGAGGGTCTCCCATATAATACCCTTGTAATGGGGGGTCCCCCATAAGGAGGCCTTCCCACATAATGGGGGGGGGGCATATAATTCCCTTGTAATAGGAGTCCACCTTAAGGAGGCCTTCCCATATAATGGGGGGCTCTCTTTTGAGGGTCTGCCATATAATTCCCTTGTAATAAGGGACCCTCTTGAGAAGGTTTTCCCATATTAGGGGGGCTCTCTCTTGATGGCCCCTCATATAGTTCCCGTGTAATAAGGGGCCTGTTTAAGAAAGTCTTCCCACATAATGGGGGGCTCTCTCTTGAGGGTCTGCCATATAATTCCCTTGTAATGAGAGTCCCCTTTAAGGAGTCATTTCCACATAATGGGGGGCTCTCTCTTGAGGGTCTACCATATATTTCCCTTGTAATGAGGGTCCCCCTTAAGGAGTCATTTCCACATAATGGGGGGCTCTCTCTTGAGGGCCTGCCATATAATTCCCTTGTAATGAGGGTCCCCCTTAAGGAGTCATTTCCACATAATGGGGGGCTCTCTCTTGAGGATCTCCCATATATTTCCCTCGTAATGACCCCCTTTAAGAAAGCCTTCCCACATAATGGGGGGTCTCTCTCTTGAGGGCCTCCCATTTAATTCCCGTGTAATGGGGGTCCCCCATAAGAAGGCCTTCCCACATAATGGGGGGCCATATAATTCCCTTGTAATAGGAGTCCACCTTAAGGAGGCCTTCCCATATAATGGGGGGCTCTCTCTTGAAGGTCTCCCATATATTTCCCTTGTAATGACCCCGTTTAAGAAAACCTTCCCACATAATGGGGGGCTCTCTCTTGAGGCTCTCCATGTAATTACCTTGTAATGGGGTCCCCCTTAAGGAGGCCTTCCCATATAATGGGGGGCTCTCTCTTGAAGGTCTCCCATGTAATTCCCTTGTAATGGGGTCCCCCTTTAGGAGGCCTTTCCATATAATGGGGGGCCATATAATTCCCTTGTAATGGGTGTCCCACCATAAGGAGGCCTTCCCACATAATGGTCTCTCTCTTGAGGGTCTCCTGTATAATTCCGTTGTAATAAGGGGTCTCTTTTAGAAAGCATTCCCACATAATGGGGGGCTCTCTCTTGAGGGTCTCCCATGTAATTCCCTTGTAATGGGGTTCCCCTTTAGGAGACCTTTCCATATAATGGGGGGGGGCATATAATTCCCTTGTAAAAGGAATCCCCCTTAAGGAGGCTTCCCATATAATGAGGGGCTCTCTCTTGGGGGTCTCCCACATAATTCCCTTGTAATAAGGGCGCCTCTTAAGAAGGTCTTCCCTTATTAGAGGGGCTCTCTTTTGCCCCCCCCCCATATAATTCCCTTGTAACAAGGGGCCCCTTTAACAAGGCTTCCCCACATAATGGGGGGGTTCTCTCTTGAGGGTTTCTCATATAATTCCCTTGTAATGGGGGTCCCCCTTAACGAGGCATTTCCACATAATGGGGGACTCTCTCTTGAGGGTCTCCCATATAATTCCCTTGTAATAAGGGCCCGTCTTAAGAAGGTTTTCCCTTATTAGGGGGCTCTCTTTTGGGGTCCCCCATATAATTCCCTTGTAACAAGGGGCCCCTTTAACAAGGCTTCCCCACATAATGGGGGGCTCTCTCTTGAGGGTCTCCCATATAATTCCCTTGTAATGGGGGTCCCCCATAAGGAGGCCTTCCCACATACTGGGGGGGCATATAATTCCCTTGTAATGGGGGTCCCCCATAAGAAGTCATTTCCAAATAATGGGGGGCTCTCTCTTCGGGATCTGCCATATAATTCCCTTGTAATGGGGGTCCCCCTTAAGGAGGCCTTCCCACATATTGGGGGGGGGCTCTCTCTTGAGGGTCTGCCATATAATTGCCTTGTAATAAGGGCCCCTCTTAAGAAGGTCTTCCCATATTACGGGTACTTTCTTTTGGGGTTCCCCATATAATTCCCTTGTAACAAGGGGCCTCTTTAAGAAAGCCTTCCCACAAAATGGGGGGCTCTCTCTTGAGGGTCTGCCATATAATTCCCTTGTAATGGGGGTCCCCCATAAGGAGTCATTTCCACATAATGGGGGGGCTCTCTCTTGAGGGTCTCTCATATAATTCCCTTGTAACAAGGGGCCCCTTTAACAAGGCTTTCACACATAATGGGGGGCTCTCTCTTGAGGATCTGCCATATAATTCCCTTGTAATGGGGGTCCCCCATAAGGAGGCATTCCCATAGAATTGGGGGTTTTCTCTTGAGGGTCTCCCATATAATTCCCTTGTAATGAGGGTCCCCCATAAGAAGTCATTTCCAAATAATGGGGGGCTCTCTTGTAATGGGGGTCCCCCCATAAGGAGGCCTTCCCAGATAATGGGGGGACATATAATTCCCTTGTAATGGGGGTCCCCCATAAGGAGGCATTCCCACATAATGGGGGGCTCTCTCTTGAAGGTCTCCCATATAATTCCCTTGTAAAGGGGGTCCCCCTTAACGAGGCATTCCCATACATGGGGGGCTTTTCCTTGAGAGCCTCCCATATACTTCCCTTGTAATAAGTGTCTCTTTTAAGAAGGCATTCCCATATTAGGGGGGCTCTCTCTTGGGGTCTCCCATATAATTCACTTGTAATAAGGAGTAATTCCCATATAAATAATCCTTCCCCCTTTTTAGGATAATATTCCCCCCCCCCCCCCCTCAGAATGATCCTCTGCAGGCCGTTTCTAAGACCCCCCCCCCCTTCCATTGGCCCTTCTTTTTCCGCTCTTGGGGCCTGGCGGGAGTGAGAAGCCCAGCTAGGCCGCACATCCCCAGCCTCGCTTGAGAGCCTTGCCTGCCTCGGGGGACTCGGAGGCGGGGAGAGGGAAGGAGGAGTTTGCGGGCGAATAGCCAAACGCCTGGAGCTCAAAGAACACTTGTTTCTAGATGGGGATGACATGGTTGGTGTTTTGGGGGGGCTCCCATCATTAAAACTGGGGAAAAGTGTGAAATAAAGTCCCCCCAAAGCCTTTAAATGTCGCTCCCCCCCACCCCACTCTCAATCAAGATGATGGCAGGCTGTCTTTCTCCTGTCAGCCATTTATTTCTCCGGGCATCTCAGGCTTTTGCCTTTAACTCACAGTTTATTTATTTTTTAGGCGGGAAATTAGTGTATTTGTCATTATTTGGACGTAATTAAATTCTATCGTTAGCAGCAATAATAATAATAATAATAATAATAATAATAATAATAATAATAATAATAATAATAATAATTTAAAAAACAATACAAGCCAATACAATACAGGGAAATGGAGGGCATTATTTGTTTAATAATAATAATAATAATAATAATAATAATAATAATAATAATAATTTGAAATTGAATATAAGCCCCTTATCATTAAATAATTTAAATGTTTGCCCATGGTTCAATGAAAATGTTGCTTTTATTTGCAAATTAATGTAAAATACTGCTTCTAAAATTCCATGTTTTGACACTTGACTGAGATATCTCGTTAAGTAACAGTAATAATAATAATAATAATATTTATTTATATTAGTGTCGTATATTATTATATATTTATACAATATTATAATTATTATATTTATTTATATCCTGCTTTATCTCCCTCCTGCAGGAGACTCAAAGCAACGTAACATAAAAGCATCAGCATACAATTTAAAATATATTATTATATTATTATAAAATATATTATTATTATATTATAAGCAGCGTAACATAAAAGCATCGGCATACAATTTAAAATATATTATTATTATTATTTGTATTAGTGTCGTACATTATTATATATTTATACATTATTATAATTATTATATTTATTTATATCCTGCTTTATCTCCCTCCTGCAGGAGACTCAAAGCAGCGTAACATAAAAGCATCAGCATACAATTTAAAATATATTATTATTATTATTATAAAATATATTATTATTATATTATAAGCAGCGTAACATAAAAGCATCAGCATACAATTTAAAATATATTATTATTATTATTATAAAATATATTATTATTATATTATAAGCAGCGTAACATAAAAGCATCAGCATACAATTTAAAATATATTATTATTATTATTATAAAATATATTATTATATTATAAGCAGCGTAACATAAAAGCATCAGCATACAATTTAAAATATTATTATTATTATTTATATTAGTGTCGTACATTATTATATATTTATACATTATTATAATTATTATATTTATTTATACTCTGCTTTATCTCCCTCCTGCAGGAGACTCAAAGCAATGTAACATAAAAGCATCAGCATACCATTTAAAATATATTATTATTATTATTTGTATTAGTGTCGTATATTATTATATATTTATACATTATTATAATTATTATATTTATTTATATCCTGCTTTATCTCCCTCCTGCAGGAGACTCAAAGCAGCGTAACATAAAAGCATCAGCATACAATTTAAAATATATTATTATTATTATTATAAAATATATTATTATTATATTATAAGCAGCGTAACATAAAAGCATCAGCATACAATTTAAAATATATTATTATTATTATTATAAAATATATTATTATATTATAAGCAGCGTAACATAAAAGCATCAGCATACAATTTAAAATATTATTATTATTATTTATATTAGTGTCGTACATTATTATATATTTATACATTATTATAATTATTATATTTATTTATATCCTGCTTTATCTCCCTCCTGCAGGAGACTCAAAGCAGCGTAACATAAAAGCATCAGCATACAATTTAAAATTTATTATTATTATTATTATTAATATTAGTGTTGTATATTATTATATATTTATACATTATTATAATTATTATATTTATTTATACTCTGCTTTATCTCCCTCCTGCAGGAGACTCAAAGCAGCGTAACATAAAAGCATCAGCATACAATTTAAAATATATTATTATTATTAATATTAGTGTCGTATATTATTATATATTTATACATTATTATAATTATTATATTTATTTATATCCTGCTTTATCTCCCTCCTGCAGGAGACTCAAAGCAGCGTAACATAAAAGCATCAGCATACAATTTAAAATATATTATTATCATTATTATTAATATTAGTGTCGTATATTATTATATATTTATACATTATTATAATTATTATATTTATTTATACTCTGCTTTATCTCCCTCCTGCAGAAGACTCAAAGCAATGTAACATAAAAGCATCAGCATACCATTTAAAATATATTATTATTATTATTTGTATTAGTGTCGTATATTATTATATATTTATACATTATTATAATTATTATATTTATTTATATCCTGCTTTATCTCCCTCCTGCAGAAGACTCAAAGCAGCGTAACATGAAAGCATCAGCATACAATTTAAATATATTATTATTATTATTATTATTATTTATACCCTTCTTTATCTCCCTCCTGCAGGAGACTCATTCATTTGGAGTAGGAACCTAAAAATAAATAATAAGAATTATTATTTTGTATTTATACTCCGCTTTATCTCTTTCCAGGGAGACTGAAAGCAGCTTATAATTAAAAGTATTTGTTTATTTTATTTATTTCTGGCATTTGTACCCCGTCTCTTCTCTACCCCCGAAGGGGGACTCAGGACGGCTTACATTAGTAACGGTCCAAGACCACTACATCACAATTACAATAATATAACACAATCAAATACAAAACAATCATTAAAACCAATACATATAGCATTAATTAAAACAATAAAACAAAGTTACAATGTCATCTGCTGCAACGCCATTCCAGTCAGTGTCCATTATGGTGCAAATTACGTCTGCTGCCCGAAGTCCTGGTCCCAAAACCACGATTTTAATTTTTTTCTGAAGGCCAGAAGGGATGGAGTCGATCTTATTTCATTTGGGAGTGCATTCCATAGGCGGGGGGCCACAGCCGAGGAGGCCCTGTCTCTCGTCCCCGCCAAACGCATTCAAAATATGCAAATATGCAAACATTAAAACAGAATTAATCATAACAATATTAAAAATTCATAGTTAAAAAATCAAGGAGAAGACAAAGTATTGTCTTCTTGGTGTTATGAAATACAAGACCCTAATAGAATGCACACAAAAGTGTGCCAGTGGACCTCACAAAATGTCATTATTTTGTAAAGCATTTCAGGGCTTCAATAGGGGAATTTTGCAGGGCGCCTTTCGTTCCCTTTATATGTGTTTTGCTTCAAAAGGTGTCCCTCCATTCAGGGTCCCTCAAAAGGATTAATTGGCTGCATGGGTTAGCTGTTAGCTTTTGAAATAGATTCGTGCATTTTTTTAACATTATTATAAATCGTTGTTATAGAAAAAAAATAATGCTGAGCTTTTCTCCACTTCTGATTTTGTAAATTTTGCATTGTTTTTATATATTTGGACATTCATTTGCTCTCTGGGCCTGCCACCGTTGCCCAGGTGTGCTCCAATTCAAGAGAACCCATTCTATTTTCAGTGCAAAATTGCAAGGTTCCCAATGGATAAAACAGATTTGTCACTAGGTCATGCAGCTGGTTGTGTGCGGTGAGTTAAAAAAATTGCCTTTAGGTGAATAGGGAAAGGAGAAACTTTCCATGCAAGTTACTTATTTTAATAGCTGGACTTGTTCTGTTTGGAGAGTGACCATCACTCTTAAAAACACTGGAAAACTCAGCAGAAGAGACTTAAAAAGCTAAAAAATAAAAAATGCACTACAACACATGCACATAACCACATTGTTCCCCTGACATTAAGTCCAGTCGTGTCCGACTTGGGGTGGGGGTTGGTGCTCATCTCCATTTCTAAGCCCAAGAGCCGGCATTGTCCATAGACACCTCCAAAGTCATGTGGCCGGCATGACTGCATGGCACACCATTACCTTCCCCCCAGAGAGGTACCTATTGATCTACTCACATTTGCATGTTTTCGAATTGCTAGGTTGGCAGAAGCTGGGGCTAACAGCGGGAGCTCACGCCACTCCCCGGATTCAAATCTGCGACCTTTCGGTTAGCAAGTTTTAACAGCTCAGTGGTTTAACCCACTGTGCCACCGGGGGCTTTGACATAACCACATGTGTATTTATGCATAACCACATAAATACACATATGCACACACACATATATATATATACACACAAAACACATATACACAGACTGGGCCACAGCAATGCGTGGTAAAACATCCGGGCAACGTTGTCTGGGCAACATCCTTGCAGCCAATTCTCTCACGCCAGAAGCGACTTGCAGTTTCTCAAGTCACTCCTGACATAAATATATATATATATAATAAAATAAAAAGTATTATTAAGCGGCTAAGGGGGGAAAGGAGAGGGCCTGAGGCTGTTAGGAATTGTGGGAGTTGAAGTCCAAAACACCTGGAGGGCCCAGATTTGCCCATGCCTGGACTAGATGCATGTTATGTCACCTTCGGAAGTGTCAGGCTGCTATTTTTGTTCCATTCGGAGAAGGTGGCGGAGTAAGTCGTGCACCCTCCTTGCTTCCCTTCTCTCCGCTGTACGTCTAACCCGCAACCGTTTGTCTTGAATGCTATTTTATTTTCATAGCACAACTTTAATGTCGAAGGACCCCAGTGGACATCATAACCCTAATACCTCCAGCATCCCCGAAATGCACTCACCTCTGAGGTGGAAAGGGGCAGACAACTGGTGTATCTTTCCCCAGAATATGGATGGGTCTGAAGAGGTAGAAAGGTAAAAAGATTGGACGAGGGCAAATAGGGTAAACCGTTGTTTTTGCAAAATAATGAAGCATGTCGTCATCATCGGGCGCAGTGTTACGTCTTATGTGCTCGCCAAACGGCGGAACACAAAACATTTTGTAAAATTTAAATTCAGCTTCTACTTTACTCACAAAAAGGTTTGCAAAAATGTTGTTCTTCTATGTCCGAGCAATGCCTTTTATGGGATGCACTTTCTCGACAGATGGTGTAAATTGTTGGAAAAGACTTTTTCAGTTTTATGTATTGTCGAAGGCTTTCATGGCCGGAATCACATTTATTTGTTGTGTCAGGGCAACCAGTCAATTGTATTACATTTCTAACAGAACAAAACAAACAGACAAAACACAAAATTTGC